CGCTTGGTCCTTTGGGAGCGAGGTGCAAGGGAAGGGTGACCAGCCGCAACCCTAAACATCCACCCCCGACCATTCTGAGGCTTTTGGAGACTTGTGCTAATTGAGTAATTAATCAGGGTTCAAAAAATAAACGGAAGGTATTAGGAAAAAAGGATGAAATGGGGGTACAAGTTAAGTCAACTTCCATCAGACATAACTGAGTCCCAGTTCCAGTCAGGTCTGAAACCCCGTTGAATTCCTACAGTTAGTGATTGGTAAGAGCCTACCAGGTTTTGCAATTACGATTTCTTCATAAGGAACACTCATGAAGCTGTGACAGTTCGTCTTTTGTTCATCGGTTCCTCTCATCTGTATTGCAGGTGGTTGACGTATTTATACCGAGACCATTTCGATCATTTGCCTTCGTCACGTTTGACAATGCGGACGTCGCGTCCAGTCTTATGGGCAAAGAACTAGTCATACATGGATGCCAAGTTAACATCGGTTCGGCAGTCCCGAAACTCCCTCAGAACAATCGACAGGTACAAAACGCGCACATGGATCCATCAATGCAGGCTTTTCAGTCAACAATGGCACCACAGTTCTGGGATAGTAAGTGAATTGTTTTCCATTATCTATGTAGACAGTTGCATTCACCACTGAAAACGTTGACCTGAAGACGAGGTATGAAGAACTAGATAGGAATATTCGGCATGTTCACTTATTATCCACTTTGAATATTCTTACTTTCCGCACATTATGAGCTTGACAGCAACCGGTAAAGTTCTCCCTTATTTCGCGGTACGATGATGTTATTTATTGATTTAACTTTTCAACTTTGTGATGACCTTTATCTGGCCTTTATTCTTGTCCAGAGAGGAAGACTGCTTGAATGAGAATCTTTACACCTTTTTTGATTGTTTACTGGTATGATGATGCTTAGTGTCACTCCACTGGGAACTGGACTCACCCCTGTTTTTCCCAGCTGTAAGAATTCACAATAAATTATCTTAGACAAGAGTTGCGCGCAACTTTTTGTGACAGTCTGGGGAAACCAATTTGGGGTATTTATTAACGAGGCATGGAATACAACTATTTAAAGCTGATGTAGAAAGGTTTATTTCGTTGAGTACCATGTCGGTTGTTTAGTTCAACAGTCAATGTTCTCCCTTTCCTATCGTATTTTCCATTTTCGATGATGTTTGTCACCACAGGTGAAATCAGATTTGATAAATTAATTCAATGTTGATACAGTCCTCGTGAAATGTTTTAACTGCCCCGCTCTCAGCATCCGAGGTTTTTTTCGTGTAATAAATTCAATGACAATAATAAAGTTTGTTTTAAAATATTTTCGTTCCAAACCTTCTTATCAAACATCTTTATTTCGAGTCATTTCGTAAATTGTCCGAACTCTACCTTCGTAGTCGCCTCCGAACTGGCCCGTCCAGTTCTCACAAGCACCAGGTCATGGTGTCGGTTAAGGAACCTACCCATGCATAACATGGTTATGGGTTGAGGGGATAGCGGCGAGGTTAAGCAGGTTGAAGTTATGGAATCACGCTATACGTAGTATCCACCAAAAGGATAATAATAGTAGAAAACTACAAGAGTTGGTAAGTTCCGTCATATAGCTTTTCTAGGTTCGATTGAGAGGAGACCGTTACCATTACATCAGCCGAGTTTGTTGCGTTATCCAGCCCAACAATGTCCGTTTTAATTTTTCGATGGTTGTCTAAAGTTCACTGATATTCGAAGGACTTAATAACATTGAAATTTACTTCCAGGTTGGTCGTCCGCTTTCGGGATGTTCC